CCAAATTTTATATGGAGAAGAAAATTGTTCCCTAAAGTGTATCAGTCTACGATTCATGCTTCGTGAGCAGGTAAATAGAATACACTCTGGGGTTTCCTCAACCAGCCCACAAAACCTACAGTCCGTCTCTACGGAAAGCCTCATTTGATGACCAATGGCATATAGGCATGCTGTTGTTGTTGTTGTTTTTGTTGTTGTAGCAGCATTCAAATTCTTTTAAGGTGTTTTTGGGGATTGCTACTGGGGGGACAGTCCTCGACTGTAGCCATGTTGTTGTTGTAATAGCGTACATGTTTCCCAATACATGTTTCGGGGAATGCTGCTTGCGTGACTTTTCATATTCATGAATCTGAAACGTTCCTGTTTTGTTGGTCGGAGTGTACTATAGCTATGATGTTGTTGTTCGTGACAATCTTTGGCTAGATATAAATCTGGGTCATTCCAACTACGTAGACCCGACAGTCGGAGAAACGTCGTATAGCCATCGAAGTTCCTGGTTGTACACGACCGTCCTTTCCTTTAATCGGTCTGACAATGTAGAACCGACTATCGTAAAATAGAGCGCGCAACTGCTTATGTTCACCGATGAAATACTTTTACTATATACATAGCATATTGATGATAAGCCGGAGTATAGTAATTTAAATTAATGCTATCTTAGCCTCAAGTTCCGAACGTAGTTAAGAATTTAAGACGGTTAACATTTCACTCGTAATCTGAACAATTAAATAAAAACAAAACAGATTCTATCTACGACAGCGTAAAATTTAAGACATCCATAGTTGCGAATGAACTACTTTAATATTTGTATATAAAGCTTAAAAAACAGGAAGTTTTATTGAAGTGGCATCATGTTTGCAGCCCAAGGAATTATCAAAATCCTAAACCTATAATAGCTTACCTTGTGGCTTCGTGAATTAAATTTTATAAAACTATTAGCGTACTCAAGTTACAATATATGTATGTGTACAAACAGCATTCAATACGTTTGTACAATCATTGAGCACTGAATATATTTGTTAGATTTTTCCATATAATTTGTTAAAAGTCACTTCTCAAAATTAGCTATGTGAAAAACACATACTATAAATACATTTTTTTCAACAATTTCCACTTTAGCTTTTCTCCAAAGTTGCACTTGCATTGAAAAATATACAACTGTCTATCGACAGAGAAATGCGATGGGAATTAAGGAACAGGACAGACTGGCCACTTAAAAAATTGTCTCTGGCAGTGATGGAAAAGTAGGCACAATAGTGCCATTTTTGACACTTTAATTCTCAAATGCTCTTGTGGCACAATTCATCCGTTTTGGCACAATCATAAAATATAGGAATTTACCATAAAATGCCAATCACATAGCAAAAAATTAAATGCACTAAAAAATTAAAATAAGGGTCATGAGAAATATTTACAAACCGCTGAATTCTAATGAGAATGCGCAGTATGAAAAGTAAGTTTTCGCAACAACAAGCTCTTAATTCAGAATGTTTAGAAAGATTTTAAGTTTGCAGTTTTACAGTCCTTAAATAAAAGTGCAAGTTTCTGCAATATCCCGATGATTTTTATTTTTTATTTCTGCTGACGGTGCCATAAATTTTCATCCATTTCAAAAATTTTCGAACACACTTTATATGGGAAAAATTCATAAAATCGAGAACTTGGAATCTCCCTAAAAATTCTGAATTCAAAGCTTTTTGTTGCGAAAACCTGCTGATTTTTTTTCAATTTTTGTACAAAGTTTGAAATGCAGATTTGTGGACATATATTGTTTATTAAATTATTAGTGACTTTTATATAAAATCAATCAAAAAATAATCAATGAAAAGAATAGACAAACCTGGTGAAAATGTCTCACTGCCATTATTTCGCATACAGATACATCCATATGCGTGTAAAAATGTCATGATAGCTATATTTCGGTGTATTTCCCCTCCGTTATTGGAATTCTGTGTAAGTTACTATGAATTTATGTATACGTCTGTCGGCCGCTGTGGTGTAGTGGTAAGCAGTGCGCGCTTCCACTGCGCAACGCCTGGGTTCAAGCCCTGGTCAAAGCAACATCGTGAAAATATAGAAAAAAGGTTTTTTCTTAACAGCGGTCGTCCCTCGGCAGGCAATGACAAACCTCCGAGTGTATTTCTGCCATGAAAAACAGCTTCTCATAAAAATACAATCGCCGTTCGGAGTCGGCGTAAAACTGTAGGTCCCTCCACTTTGTGTGACAACATCAAGGCGAACGTCACAAATCGGAGGAGAAGCTCGGCCAAACACTAACATATGTGTAAGCGCCAATCTATTATTATTACTATTACTAAGGAATCCTTCATAAAAGTGATTTACAGTAAAAATTTAGTTAATGATTATTATTTTACTTCAGTGTATTTTAAAAACATTATTTCTAAAAATATATATACCAAATAAAAGTTAAACTGTTGCCAGTCATATGTACATATTTTTCATCATATATGAAATAATGAAATCTTATTTTGAAAAATTTAGGTGTTTTTCGCGTTAATTGACGATACATCTTGATTTTTGCTGCGAACCATACAAGAATTGTGCGATGGAAACTAACACATTCTCATTTACCTTACTAACACATATGCAAATTTTGCGTTGGTTAAAAAGAGACCATTAAAAAAGGCCATAAGTTGGAGGGAGACGGAAGATCACATGTACACAAATGTTTACCTCACGTTTTTCATATTGCTCTTAAAAAGTTAGGTGCAATCCCGTATTCCTCGGACTCGGACTAGTAAAACTGTCAAAAAATAAAAATTCGCTCAGAGCGAAAGAGTAACATTGAAAAGTAAAGGATCGCTTTCTAGTAAAAAATGGTAACTTCTGTCAACTTCAACATAACCTCCAAATTTTGGTTGTAAATTTTTGCTTATTTTGTATGTAAACACACTCAGCTCACACATGTAAATAACCAAAAATACTTTCAAATTCATTAGAATCCACTTAAACAAGTAATTAAATACTTTTCAACATGAATTAGCAGAGTGCACTTTTCTTTTGTTTACAATTTGGTTGCCAAACACACTACAGCTGATCGTTTGACACATTTACCAGAATTTACCAGCAAAAATTTCCCGGACTAAAACTGGTAACTTTTGACAGAGAGAGAACCGTATTTACTCTCTTTTTTTCCTCTCAATAGTCAGAGAACCGAGTACGGGATCGATTTCCAGTAAAATCTGACTGATTCTGACTATTTCTGACTAGTCCGGACTCGTAAGGGATCGCAACTGCTGATATAAGTACTTGATTGAGATCTCCATCACCAGTGAGTATCACATGATGAATCAAATGGCTGTCGCTGTTCTTGTAGGGTTAGTTTCCATCACACAATTCTTGTAGGGAAGGTGATGTTGGCAGAACAAAAACAAAAATTACAATAACAAGCCGTCTTCGCGTGAGGGCAAATCTCGCTTGCTTGACGACGAAAAAATTACGAAGCATACTTTTTCTCGCATACCAAGTGGTTTGCGAGCTCTCGCATGCTTTCAACTATCATTTTTGTTAGTTTTTGTTGCTTCCGATCGGTTTGGATATGTTACAGAATTTTCTTGATAGGCTAGTCCGATCTAATTATCTTTAGTGCAAATAAAACAAGTTTATTCCACTATTACAGCCCAACGTTTCGCTAAACTTATTAGCATCATCAGGGGCGCGTTTGTTTATTTTTGTAGTATTAACACTTAAACATTTCTAAATCTTAATTACTAAATATCCAATACCATCTTGTGTGGTAGTTTAGTCAAGACTGAAAACTTTTTAAATTAATTTTGTAAACATAAAATATAAGCCGCGGCAATGTCATCGGTATCTTCCTTTAACAAAAGGTGGTATTGGATATTTAGTAATTAAGATTTAGAAATGTTTAAGTGTTAATACTACAAAAATAAACAAACGCGCCCCTGATGATGCTAATAAGTTTAGCGAAACGTTGGGCTGTAATAGTGGAATAAACTTGTTTTATTTGCACTAAAGATAATTAGATCGGACTAGCCTATCAAGAAAATTCTGTAACATATCCAAACCGANTCATTTTTGTTGCTTGACAGGTATTAGGTTCTCTCAAAAATGGAACATAATCCAGAAGTACGGGAACTCAAAAAACTACATTTCGTGCCCAGAAATTGAGAAACAGCTGATTCACGTTTTTTTTTGTTTTTGTCACTTCAATGCAAAAACCTAGAAATTGAATTATTTCACAAATTTGATTTTAAGTTTGTAAAAATTGGAAATACATCAACAGGCCATTCACTATTCCTTAAAAGCACCAAGTAAATGCAGGCAACATGTTAACACAAAACAGCTGATAAGCACTTTAACACTTTATCCGTTTTTACCCGGAGAATAAGCCCGGGCTAGAAGAAGAAGACACTTGCGATTCAGCACGTTCCAATTTTCGCTCTCTATTACCCATTTTGTTGAGTACGGGAATGATTTCTGGGCTGTTTTGGGTACCCGCGTTGTGTACGGGAAATAACCTATTTTCTCATTTCGCAGAATTCTTCAGAGTAGAAATATCGTTTATTTTGATAGAAAATACAAATTCAGCCTGAAAAGCTCGAGCCTTCTTTTTTGACACCATTTTACAAATTAAAAAGTATGCTGTCACACAGCCACCGCACTAAGCCACCCGACACTGCAGCGGCACTACGCGACAGTTTTTGGTATACCGCACTGAAACTGCAGCGGCGCGACACCTCGCTGCAAAATTTTTAATTTATTTGTGTCAAAACCTTCAAACAAGATGGATGGCAATGACGCTGATGTAATGTTTATGTCTTTTATTTTTATTTTCCTTATGGTTATTTACATAATAAAAGTTAAACTGTTGCCAGTCAAATGTTCATAGTTGCCGTCATACAAGAAATAATGTCATCTTATTTGGAAAAATTTTGGTGTTTTTCGCGATGATTGATTATACATNGTTACAAGAAATAATGCCATCTTATTTGGAAAAATTTTGGTGTTTTTCGCGATGATTGATTATACATTCTCCCAGGTAGAGAATGTTTTTCCCAGCATTGACGTCTCGATTCCAACAGGTACCGCAATTTGGGCAAAATTTGTACCTGTGGGGCGATTTGGACGTCAGGTTTATGTAGTAACACTTGGCACAAAGTTTTGCTGTTCGGAATTCGTTCACCATAAGGATGTCTGCTTTGCGTTGTTTTGAAGCTGTTAGAAGTAGACGGTTAGGTGTACGCCGAGATCCGCATATTGGCGAGTTCGCAGCGATATCGGTTGAACCTATACATATTAACGTACTATCTTCTCCGTTCGGTACCAGTCGTTTCGCAATGTGGTTGCAGGCTTATTGACGGCAAATGTACTACTTCAGCCGAGCCACCTTTCTTTGCGAGAAGATTTTTTGTTTTTGTTCCAGTATTTCAAGCTGAAACTTGCCATATTGACGAAAGTTCGATAAATTTGCAGACAATTCTGATTTTGTGGTGAAATCTTTCTTATATTTATTTAGCTTTATTTTGCGAGGAAATAAACCAGCAAGGTGTTGGTAATATGTATTTTTTATTTTGACAGGAACCTTGTTCTGGATTCCAGCTAAAATGAGCCGACACCCACGATCTAGGCCAATTTTGTTTTTGTACTTTGTTGCACGTATTTTTATTAAATCACCTTCAAAATCCGTTTCTTTATCTTTTAGTTTTCTCTTTTTTACTAGCTTAGTTTCGTTTTGTAGTGTTATTTGCTTTTCCATGCAAAATAAAATGGAGACGCCATCGGTTTGAAGTGAAGAAAACGTTTTAGTAAATTTTGAAATATTTTCCAAATTCACTTTTATCGAAGGAAGAAAATTATCCTTTGAAAAATTTTAATCGACACAATAGAAAGCAAGTCGGTCGTATCTGACGTGATGTAAACCGTGTTTTAGTTGTGGTATTAGTGAAACATTTTTTATTACCTTAATTTCACTGTACCGTTGCAGGCTATAAAATAATTCGATAGAAGACCAAAATAGTTTGACCTTCTCAATTTCGTGTAGTTAATTTCCGTTCCATTTTAAATCGGAACGCATACGTTCAAGTAACGCTTCATCTGGAATATTTTTTGAATTTTTATCGAAAAGGTAGCTCAATGCAGTATATACCTTTTTTTATCTTCCTCAAATTTGAAATATTTTCTGAGCCGAGTATAACCGTGCATCCAAATATTGTTATGGATCATAGTCAAATATTTATTCGCGTTTTCCACAAATAAAATCGACCGATACGACCTATCGTACAACTAGAGTTTTTTCGCAGCTTATTATATTCTCCGTCGATTATATAGTTCGCTTTCTTTCTTTAGCATCAAGTGGTAATAACATTCCAGAAAATTTATGGGTTCAAAGTTTCGTTGTTCCCAACTTTTCATGAGTGTGAACATGTCTCGATACTTCGACGTATAGACAAGACATTTCCTCCACATCCTTTTGCATTTGGTAATATACATCGGAATTTTTACATGATGGTCGCAAAGCTTTTTTTCACCACGGAACAGGTTGTTTTATTACAATCACCTTCTTTGCTGCTTTCGCCAATTGGCCTTTTGCGACTCTTGACGAAAAATTAAGTTTGTTGCAAGTTTGTAACGTCTAAATTTCTGCTGGTTCACAGTCTCGCTGTTTTCACGCGAGTAAAATCTGCAGAGAGCCATAAATAAAAAATTTAAATTTAATTTATTAGATTAAAAGGTGACAGGCTGGCAGTACACTACATAAATTTCCACTTCTGTATTTAAATATAACTTTTAGCTTTATTTTGTCACGAGTGGGACAAGCCCAATACTGCTCAATAATAATAATAATAATATAGATAAAGCCCTATATAATAAAATTTAATTAAAAACAGACGAGTTTTACCATTTTATTTTCTTACAAAACACTTCAATTATGAGGTGAAGTAGTTTTAGAGTTACAAATATACGAAACAAGTGGGCGGTACCACATATTCTATTAGCATTTTTATTAGTATTAGTATTTTTAATACAGTTTTATTCAAAGCAAAAAGAGAAAAAAAACTTGAAAATGATCGCGAAGAATTTATACACATAATAATACGGTGGCGAGAATGTAATTTTTCTTACCTAGCACTTGAGAAATAGTCAAATCCTTAAATTTTAAATTCGCGGCTGAAAGGCTTACAATTTCTGCTGCTTCACAGTCTCGCTGTTTTCTCGTGTGTTAAATCTGCAAGGAATTTAGAATAAAAATTTTTAAGTTAATTTATTAGTCCGCTAAACTGTATGTACTGCTGGTGTATCTGCATTAGGGTGGTGAAAAAGTCGGAATTTCAATGCTCTCACCCCTTAGGATTGTTCTATACCGAAAATATAATACCTGTTTTTGTTTTTTGAAATCAACAAATATCTACTCCCATGTATTTCACATCAAACCATTCGGGGCTGAAAGAGTTTCAATTTCCGCTTCTTCACTATTTTTTTCGTCCACTGCTTCACTGTAAACTATGCAGAAAACCAAGAATACAAATTGTTAGGTTAATTTATTAGCAACGACGGGAGTTTTGAGATTAATGGCTAGTTTCTCCAACTCAACTTAACTTTGTTTAGCGAATTTTTTGGACTTAAGCAAAGTTGAGTTGGAGAAACCAACCCTAAAAGGGGACAGGCTGGCAATTACGTATGTACATAAATTTCTACTTCTTATTTTTCGTAGCCAACACTTGAATTATGAGTGGTAAATTATTTCACAGTAATTACAACACACCCTACTTTAAACTCACTCAAAAAACATTCGCAATAAATTACGAACATGTATGTATGTGTAACAAACACGAAACACAACATTCACTTTTACATAAAAATTAAATATAACTTTTAGCTTAATACTACTACTAATAATATAAATCACTCACCAAATTTTATATATAACAAATTCCACAATTAGCAAACTTTCCTAAAAACATCGATGTTTTAATGCGATATATCGAACTACCATCGATGTAATTTTTCGAAACATCGATAATATTATTGCGATTTAGAAGCCTAGCCCAATGACTGCATTTTCTATTTTACAACGCCGAAGACGACCTCTGGAATGGTTTTGTGCAACATAGCGTACTAACGCTAGGCAATGGCCAATCACAGCGCATCTTCTATTTTAAAACGCCGAAGACGACCTCTGGAGGTGGTTCTGTGCAACATAGCGTACTACCGCTAGGCAATGGCCAATCACAGCGCATCTTCTATTTTAAAACGCCGAAGACGACCTCTGGAGGTGGTTTTGTGCAACATAGCGTACTAACGCTAGGCAATGGCTATCAAAGGCCCTACACATGCATTGATTTGTAGGCCAACCGGTCGGCCAACCGCTACAAGTTGGTGGTAAATAAGCCGTGTGTATGCAAGTTGGCAAACCTTCGCCAAGTTACGAAGCATCTTTTTCCAACATAAATACACCTATAAATATATTTGAGTATATTTATTTAAAAAAGTGAAACAAAAAATAAATAAATATAAAAATAATACATTGCAAAATCTTAAAACGGCAAATAGGACTGAACGTCCGATGGATCCTTTGGCGAACTCAAATTGGAAACAGGGCTTGGAGAACGGGCCTGTGCATGAAGCTGCTCCGACTGTTGATCAATAGAATGAGTTTTCTGCGGGTTTCCTGCAAATTATTATCCATTAAAATCGTATTCAACTCAATGCAAATCTTTAACCATTTTGAGAATTTATCGCTTGTCGTGCTGCAGAATGTGGGGTAAGAGAAGATTGACGTATGATGAACGATTGATTACTTATTTGATCAGCCGTTTCTATGGTCGTGGGTAAATCCAAAAGTCGCTGATTTTGTATACCATCACCTGGTCCCATATGCGAAATGTGATTGAAATTCGTTGGCGCTGATATCATTTTCGATCTTCTATCGCTGGTGCTAAAATTGCAAAATAGGTCGCATTGAGACTATATAAGGGCCGAATTTACAGTGCGTAGTTAACCACTGACGAGAGTTTAATGGGTCAATTACGGATGGCCAGCGAATCTCAGTTGCGTTGCCACTGGCTGAAATGGTATTACAAATGCCAATTGACAACTGAAAGCTGAGTCGCTATGTTGGCAACTACGTTTTTGTGGCTGGCGCGGAAATTTATATTGAGATAACTTATTTCTCTTTTTAAATATTCCCTTAGCTTATGTACACTCAAGCCTTGTGTGCTGGTACTTCAAAATTATATTATCTTCAAACTTCATAGCACTTAACTATAAGCTTGTATTTCATTGGCGTTTACTTTCATATACATACAATATGTATGTACATATTAAAATATAAATAAATAATAAATATTTAGCGCTCAATCATATTATAAGCCTTTAATTTAATTATGATGGTTTGCCAACGCGCGAACAACAATGTTGAATGGGCCATGAAAGAAACAGGAAACTTTAAAGCAGTAATTGGCAGAGAGAGCTTTTACTCTGTGGTTGTTTATAAGAATTTGATGATTGCTTAAAAGGCTCTACTTCTTTAAGAAAGAAGCAGAACAAGGGGAATAAGTTCTAATTTAATTTAAATGTTTGGCTTACCTTTTAAATGATTTATTTACTTCACGAATGGAAAATCGGCGCTGTGGATTTTTAGATCCAGATTTCTCGGCAGAACACATATGAATTAATTCTTCTGCAAATTGAATTTATAATTTTTACTTTAAGTCGCGAAATATTTAATAAGTAGTATTTTATAATTACTTGTATGTATATTAGCTAAATACACAATTATCGGAGCGTCGTTAACATACGTTAAAACAAAATTTGCTTGTGGTCCTAATGGTTGTGCCCGCTTTAGTCCAATGGACTGAACCCACTCTGCAGTTTGTGTATTGAAAATATCCACGTGTGTTTCCGAAAAAACCAGCAAATGCCCATCCAAATATGCTGAAAATTAAATAAAGGTTATTATATTCTTATTGAGGTTCATTAACATTATTAAGTGAAGTTTAATTATTAATTTTTAAGCATACATAAAAATATCGTCACCTGATACGCAAAAGACTAACAAAAATTCCAAAATTCACTTTTTGATCATGATGTATTTTACCGAATTACTTACAAGTCCTCACGGCGTTTTACGTAAAAAAAAATAATTGGTTACGGCGTTTTGCATTTCAGGTGACTAGATGTACTATGATGCCATGTACGAGTATTTTTTTACAAATACCCAGTAGATAATTTCAGGAGTTAAAAGCCCTTCCGAAAGGCCTTCCTGAGAGTCAAGAGGTCTTCCACTCTACATTTCTTTCTTCTTTCTATTTTGTATGAAGTGGCACAAATTGAAGGGCTTCTTCTTTCGCTACCCATGGAAGGCCTTCCAGAACGGCTTTTATAGAACGTACTTCAGAAGGCCTTTTGCAAGAGTTCTTTTTAAGTTGCTTCTTAAGTTTATAAAAATCATACATCTTTGAAGTATTTCCTTAAGGTTTATATCAAATATGTGTTATTGCAACTTAAAATGTTTATTGAAATTCATTTGTAATGCTAAATAATATAAATTTATGCATTCGCGCAAATTGTAAATGGGCTAGCCCTTCTAGAAGGCATGCAACGAAGCACTTTTTTCAGCCCTTCTTGGGTAGGCCTCTTAGAATGGCTTTACTTAAGAAGACCTACGCAAATTATCTTCTGAGTACTTATATAAACTTTAGAGACAATTTATGTTGAATATTACTTATGTGAGTTGGGTTAGCTGGATATGTTATTTCTCGATCGCGCGATTTCCTGCCTTGTAGATCCACATAAATAGCTAAGGTTTGAAACACCAGTAAATATTCCCCGAAAATTCCTCCGGGACATTGTATTTCAATAACACGAACAGCATCAACGCCCGAATAATTTAAAAAGGCACACAGTTGATTTTCCGGATGTATTAAAGCTGTTAATTAAATATGGTAAGTAATAACAAAATATGAGCACATAAAAGGTATAAGATTATCTTACAAGTAGTCGTCGCTTCGCCCTGCAAATAATAGGCAGTAAATCCACTTTGATGTCCAATAACAAGCCGAATATCTGACAAAATTTGAAGACTCTGCACCGGATACGCGACGGTGAATTCGCACATTTTTTGATGCCGCAAATGATTACGATTTATTTCATAGACCACTACTTGTGTTTGATTAGTTGGACGTTTTAGTGCTACCACGAACGCATATACATTAGTCGGAGAACGACGAATCACGCCGGTACATGCTGCGATACAATTTTTGGAGTCAGCAACTTTTATCCATTCCACGTCGCTAACTTCTAATGCTCTTATTGGAAGTAAACGTATATGTCTTTGCTTGCCGCACAAAATGACTAGAATGTGCTCTTCCTCAACATACCACATTTGAATAATCTTCTTACTCTCACCAATACGAATTATTTCTAAATAAAAGAAAGATTTGGATGATTAATCATATGCAAGTTTATCATATCAGCACCATCAGTTAATTACCATATTGTTCCAGATTAACACAATATAAGCCATCCTCTGTACCCAATAAAAACTGATCAGGATAAACGATTACAGAGCTTAGAGCGCTTCTCACAATAGTAAGAGAACTATCAAGTACTTCTTGCACTTTAAAAATAGCTGTATTGGGGAGATTGTTACGTTTTAGAATGCGATGCAATTCGCCCAAAGCAACTACCCATTTCCTCTTCTCGGTTTCATTATCCGCCAACATTAGCGTATTACAAGTTGGCCCTCCTTCAATTAAAGATGTCTTAATCTAGGTACACAAACGGAAGCTTGTTTAAGTAAGCATTAGGAAGTCGTCAATTTAATGCGTTTACTACATTGCTAATACCCAGGATGCTTTGCTATTTAAACGTCCTCTTATGTACATAGATAATTATTTATCATTGCATCCAACAAAGCGTGAATTTGCCCTTAAAATCATTCTGACATTAGCAGTAGCTTTTCAGATATATTTAAAGTGTAAAAAATGCGAACACTTTGTATTTTTTAGTTCCCACAACAAAATAAATAGGCGGAATGGAACCTTTGGAATTTGATAAAAAGAATGTTTAAATATTGACCTCCTGGTGCCAAAGGTAACAAAAACTTGAATCCATATTGATAAAGGACCGAAAAAGCTAACAAAATATTATTTAATTAAAGGGAAAGGCTTTAAAATTTTTTATTGTACCCATCAAAATGTTGTACTTCTCTTAGAAAATTGCCACAAATATGATAAAAGCTGAAATTTATGAAAAATAATTTGACCTACTTTGACCACGTAAGTAAAAATAAAAAATAAAGTAAAAAAGCAACTAAAATTTTAATCGAAATTTGTGTTAAAAAATGGCAACTTAAAGTGCTAATGACCTCACTAACTCTTGTTTGCGATGTGCTTGTTTAAACGGTTTTTTAATTTACAATACAACGCTACTGTTTGTAAGAATTACTGAACAGAATAGAACAACATAAATAACTTACCCTAAATATACATGGCACATCTTTTTTCGTAGCATGTATGACGTCGCTCTCTCGAACACTGGCGACCGCAAACTCAGGATCTCTCATGTCCAAAACTTGTGAGACGTTCACGCTAGGTAAAGCACTTCTTTCCGCCGATATATCATATAAAAACAACTTGAAGTCGCACACGACCACAAATTGACGTACCCACCCCCTTTTGATCGTGCCCATCTTTGGCACTTTTACATATCCTTCATATGCTGTGCCGATTCCTCGGGTCGGGTCGATGCCTAAAGGACGTTTCGTTTGATCAATTGGGACAGGACATATTGTAGGAACTTTCTGGCAGCAAATTGTGTGGCAAGCGAAGCCACAGAATTCACATACAACGCCCTGCCTAGTGAGGCCAACCATCAGTGAAGTACAGTGGTTGCATTTTGTTGGGCTGCTGAAAGTCCTAACCAAAAACTGATGCACTTTTGTTGTTGGTACATTCGAGGAATGCAGATCAATAGGCTTTACACTAAGGCTACTTTTTGAGCTTGACTTGCTATGATGCCCGTGAATGTCGTCCAATTCATTATTGTCCTGTTCGTTTTTATAATCTGTCGACAGATAATGCTTCTTCTCTACCATATAATATGGATAAAGAGATTCAAGCTTGGAGTTTTGAGGATATCGCATCGCATATGAGCTACTTGAAGTAGCAGAAGAATTTGGGTTTTGCTTCAAATTCCCGAGTGACATATTGTTATTAAATGAGCTACCCTGAAATTGACAATAAAATTTTAAGTTCAAAATATATATAATAAAAACTTACCATAACGTCCCTGGAGATATTACTGTCAGCATCAATATCAGTTATTTCCAAAACTATTTTGAGTTATCATTTACATTTAGATAGTAACCGTAGAAAAAACGGAGATTGAGGAAAGCATACATATACATACATACACACAAATATGTAATCAATGCGATTATTAGTTATGTTAGGCAGTGAACCAGGCAAGTTGGAAAGTACGATTTAACACGTATCGTTGCAGGATCAATAAAAGCGACATGAAATGAGAAGAATGTCAAATATAAGCGTGGAACTTTAAAAATACAGTTAAGAATTAGCATAAAAACACATACATAAATTGATCTAATTGTTTTGTTAATTATAAAAAATAAATGAAGTGTAATACAAATTTCTTATATCGCTGATTTGGGTCGTATTTTTTTGTTTTTGTTCCAGTATTTCAATCTGAAATTTGCAATACTCACGAAAATTCGATGAATTTGCAGACAATTCTGATTTTGTGGTGAAATTTTTCGTATATTTATTTAGCTTTATTTTGCGAGAAAATAAACCAGAAAGGTTTTGGTATATATGAGATATAGACAGGTGTTACGTGCATACATAATATGTTAACCTGATCCGCATGTCGACATACGCTATGGAAGCCGTATCATTATATAAACAGTACACGTAGTAGCCCTACAAATAATTGACCATTCCTTCAAATTAATACAAAAAGACTGAAAACATGCTATTCGAAAAATGGAATGAATTTACACTTTAAAATATATTAATCACCAAATCAAATTCCTAGCTTCATATTTGTAGTATTCTTATTGAATTTATTTACTTCGTTAAAGTGAAAGAAGGAAGTCTATGACAAAACGAAATAATACAGAAATTGTCTTCTACAAAATTTATATAATTTAATTTAATCTTATAATTTAATTTAGTTGTAAATTGATTTGCCACATAATGCGTGAAAAGTATTTTGTTTATTTCAGAAATTCAAATCCACATTTCAATACACGTGGTAACGGTAACCTTTTTATGTGCATTCTTGCAGCGGATGAAGACAGAGTACAAAACAGTGTAATATATAGTGTGTGCAACGATGTTATTTATTATTTTACTGTTCTTTTATTTCACAATATGTGCAATAAAAGGTAAAGCTGAATTACACATGCGCGCCTAATATTATCTCATTTTTCGAGATTTTCTCCGACAATCTTAAACTATATGCATCGCAAGTATTTGCAAAAACTATCTAATGTGATTTCAACCTTTTTCTGTTTAAATAAACTTACTTCACTTTACGCCATGAATATTGAGCTTGCGGATTCAATAACCGATGAAATGCGTGCAATATATTTATACATATCGTTGGTTATTATATCCGTGCCTTCAATTGTTTACTTATTTTCCGAAGAAAATACTTTGTAAATTAATTGTTTTATGGTGTATAACAAAGAAACATAAAATTCAAACAAGAAAAATTTGATTCAAAAAGTTTTGATACGCAGCCTATAAATTTTTTACTTTTTTTAATATCATGTATATGTACATACCGACAATTATTAATTTGCTACTATATAAATTTTGCAGAAGACAATTTCTCTCTTTTCTTAAATGAGACATTGAGAACTTCTGGAATCATGGTGATTGAGCAAAAACATCTACAGGCTCGGATTGCCTGAGGCTAGCTTATTGGATCATCGATATTTATACATCAGATTAAGGGTAATTTAGTGTACTTTAAAAAAGTACATACAACAAAAAAGGAATTTTCCACTTTGCTGCTTAATAGTTTTTTATCTATTTATTTAACGAAAAAATTGTTTGTATAAAAAAAAACGGGGAATTTCGTTACAAACAGAATGGTATGTTGTTCTCTTGCGTGCGACAAATAGCAGCAAAGATATTCGCGAAAATGTGAAGAAAAACCTTTTTTGCATAACTTTGCAAAAACCATTCGCACAACACAGCAAATACAGCTTTAAATTCTTTTTATAACCCCCTCTTGAATTCTATTTGCAATCTTCAACTACCATTAGATTTTTTAGAATTAAAATAAATTTGTATGTATTATTTAATGTATTCATCGATTTAATATCTTACCAAAGAAGGGCTGAAAACTGCTTTCCTGAATGCCTTCTAGAGGAGCTTTTCCTATTTATTAAAGAATCAGCTTTAAAGGAACTCCACTAAAAGGCCTACATAGTAATTAAAAATAAATTCTAATCATGACCTGCTTTTTATTTATATTCCTATTTACTTTCTGTTTAATTCATTCAAGCAATAAAGGATAAATTTGTTAGTTTAAACAAAATTTTTGTTTATGAAAACATTATTTTCATGCCAGATAACTTAATTAGTGACAAAATATAAACAAAGCATTTTTTCATTACCTACAAATGTATGTATGTACATATGTATGTGAATAAATTTGTATTTAATTTTTTAATTCTTAAGGCTCTTCCTCTTTTATTTCATGTAAAACAAAAAACGTTTAAACGAACTAAGATATTTTATACAAACACTTTAACAACAGAACATTAATAACTAATTAAATAAATGAAAATTTTATTTAAGATTATTTCTAGAGTTTGAAATTTCATAAAAAGAAGGGCACTGGCATGATACAATTATCCCCAGGTATTTTCTTCAAGGCAGTTTTGATTCAAATTCAATCAGTGACCCTTACTATTTTTACGCATTTCAGTGTAATATACGCATTAAAGTTAAACTGTTGCCAGTCAAATGTACATATTTTTCGCCATATATGAAATAATGATATCTTATTTTGAAAAATGTAGGTGTTTTTCGCGTTGATTTTTCTCAGCATTGACGTCTCGATTCCAACAGGTACCGCATTTTGGGCAAAATTGGTACCTGTGGGGCGATTTGGACGTCAGGTTTATGTTGTAACACTTGGTACAAAGTTTTATTGTTCGGAATTCGTTCACCATAAGGATGTCTGCTCTGCGTTGTTTTAAAGCTGTTAGAAGTAGACGGTTAGGTGTACGCCGATATCCGCGTATTGGCGAGTTCGCAGCGATATCGGTTGAACCTATTAACGTATTATCTTCTCTGTTCGGTACCAGTTGTTTCGCAATGTGGTTGCAGGCTTTTTGTTGACAAATGTATTTCTTCATTTCCAGCCGAGCCACCTTTCTTTGCGAGAAAATTTGTTGCTTTTGTTGTAGTATCTCAAGTTGAAATTTACAGTATTCTTTAAATTTTGACGAATTCGCCGATAACTGTTTTTGTCGTGAAATCTTTTGTATATTTCTCCAGTTTTATTTTGCAAGAAAATAAACCAGAAAGGTTATGGTAATATGTATTTTTATTTGCTTTTCTATGCAAAATGAAATGGAGACGCCGTCGGTTTGAAGTGAAGAAAACGTTTTGCTACGCGTTGAAGGAATTTCGAAATATTTTCCAAATTCACTTTTATCGAAGGAAGAAAATGGTCCTTTGAATGATTTTAAACTTCTTTTTTTTTAATATACATATGATGTACTTTAAGATGATTCACGAGATGGACGGATTTGGGTTGATCACTTACGGAAGGTGCTTTTATGGTCGTTAAAAATATATGATGTATTTAGGCGTCATTCAGAATAGCATTACAAATTATCATCAGCTCTTTGCGGAAAAGCGTTTATTGCTGTCAGATGCATTTTCGTACCAATATATCAAAGCAAAATATTAAAGAAACAGATTTCTTAGCATTTTTGCTTCTTTGGTAACATTTAACATTTCTTAAAAGAGTAATTCGCACTGATTATGACGAAATACTACGATTAAAAACAAGTATGCACATTCAGTTCTCGTGTGTAACTTTCGATCAAAACAAGAAATTATTGAACAACTACCGAAAATATTGTTGAATAAAAGATTGAGAAGACAAGACCTGTGATTATTGTACCATGACTTTCCCTTTTAAATTAATCACGTAATAAGAACAACACTATTCCTACGAAACACGATGTTACTCCAACACATAACGAAATGCTAAAACGCTGTATAATCTTTTTCGCAAATCCGCAAAGATTTCGTTTAAGAGATCCCGATTTATATCTGTTATCTGATATCTGTTGTAATAATCTTAATAGCTCTAGTAACTGGGCTTCACCTGGCACAACTTCGCTTGCTTTGCTTTCATTGACATTTTTCAAATTTTGCATTAAATCATATAAGGGTTCGGCAAGCTCCACGAGTTTGCCTTCTTGGGCTTTTATTAGCATTTCTTTGTAGAATTCCGCCGTCATACTTTTCCCGCTTCTTCGCCCCCGGGCTATTTTCCAATAAATAAATAATAATAAATTCCAATAATTAAGATAAAATATTTATATGTGTACGAACGAAATACTCATATACATACTAAAGTAAGAAAATTTTCATTCTGATTTNTCTATTAAAGAACAACGAAATACTCATATACATACTAAAGTAAGAAAATTTTCATTCTGATTTTCGAGACTAATTTTCTTTAAAAAATATTTGAATATTGGACTTTCGAATATAGAAGTTATCGTTTCAAACACACATATCGAGCCCCAACCGCCAAAATAACGTAAGCGACATTTTTTTTCAAAATTTTCTTTTTGATGCNTTATCGTTTCAAACACACATATCGAGCCCCAACCGCCAAAATAACGTAAGCGACTTTTTTTTTCAAAATTTTCTTTTTGATGCAGAAATATTCCTATAGCATCAAGATGCATTTCTGCATCAAAAATAAAATTTTGAAAAAAAATGTCGATTACGTTATTTTGGCGGTTAGGGCTCGATATTCTAATTTATCTAAATTCTAAGAAAAGATTTTTTCGTCAATATATGAAAAATTGTCGATAAAACGCCAGACTTTCGTTGTGTTGATTTTATCTTTGCCAACCCAAAGTACCTATGTAACGAAAATATTACCAAAAACATACCAATATACCGCAACAATAACCGCCTTTTGACTAAGANTCTAATTTATCAAAATTCTAAGAAAAGATTTTTTCGTCAATATATGAAAAATTGTCGATAAAACGCCAGACTTTCGTTGTGTTGATTTTATCTTTGCCAACCCAAAGTACCTATGTAACGAAAATATTACCAAAAACATACCAATATACCGCAACAATAACCGCCTTTTGACTAAGATCACTTAACCGCGCTCCGGAAAATACTTGTGTACCCAATTCTTTAAGGACAAGATTTTGTAAACATTTTCATGCCTTCCGGATCGAAGAATATCTAGCCCATACATATAAAACCCGCATGCATTTACTTCTATTGTAAACGTAGTATAAGTGTGTAATATATGTAGTATGTAACTCTGTGAAATAAAGAATGATGGCCGGCAAGTTAATTTCCGGTACAGCCAGAACGAAGACTGTCGTGTATATATCCTTCGTTATTATCGTAATACTCGAGATAAAATGCTTCAGGTGTTGGGTCTACCCTTATATAAACGAAGTATCAAAGATTTTGATTAAAATAGCTAATCCAAGGCAAGAATTAATAAATGTCTTGACTGATGCGCACGTGGATTTCCCACGATTTGCCACAACGGGCCAACTCCGTAACTTGGTAAGAAACGTGGTGGGCTATATTACGGAAATTGCCGATATTGATGATCTTGCTGCCGATATTGCTGCCGCCGCCAACAAGAATGCTGTTAGTAGTGGGTGCTGATATCAATGCCGGTCCACACGTTGGTTCGAACACTGCCAATATGCCGACTGTAAATACAACCGCCGTTAATGTCCCGACCTACACTGCTGTTGCTTCCACGAATTCCGCTACCACCACCACCAATGCCACTGCCGCCTCCACCAATGCCGCTGCTGCCACCATCTATGTCGCTACCGACCCTCTATTTGCCACTGCCGCAAACAAGTTCGACGAGGAGGTGCTCGCCTTAAAAAAGGCTCGAGATACTCCAACTGGTGCAGAAGATTGAGGAACTGGACAGCCGCTCTACAACAAAGTGCCAAACGCTAGCTTGATTTTGGAGATATCGAACACGCGTTGCCGAAGTTCAGTGGTGACGATGTAGGTTACCCTGTCCAACGCTTTATAATGGATTTTGAGGAGATAATAGAGTCAACGCAAGCAGACGAAAATTTTAAGCTTCTCGCTCTCCGACGATCCCTTAATGGAACGGAAAGGGTATTCCTATCAACGACAATAGCCCTAAATTATAGTTCCCTTAAGAGGGCTTTAATCAACGAATTTAATTGTTCAGTAACAAAACAAGAAATATATAAAAGGTAGTCACAGCGGGGATGGAAGAGGAAAGAAGAGTCCCTCCATGTCAGACATTGCCGAGCAAGAGGTGGTGGATTTCGTTATAGACGGAATCGGCAATACCGTCCGAATTCGCACCTGTTGTTATCGACTAGAAGCGTCGATGAACTAAAAGCTATAATCAACAGGTACCAAAATAAGTACTTTGCCGTTGGTGGTGCCGCAGTCGTAAATCAAAAGACGACTCCGGCAGTGGTGAAGCCGATGACTGAGCAAAAGTTGTGTTACAGCTGCTCGCAGTTTGGCCATATTAAACCCAACTGTCCATTTCCACTGCGACCGGACAGCTCGTGCTTCAGGTGTTGGAAAACGGGACATGACCATAGATCGTGTCCAAACCCTAAGAAGGTATTAAAGCGGAAAGAAGATATTGCTGCCGTTGCCGAATCCGATGAAGACGCTGAGCTGGTCGGAGCCTACAACCATGTAAGCATACAGTTTAAGTTATTTAAGGGAGTAGTCTCTAATTTAATCTTTTCACTTTTTGATACCGGTAGTCCGGTTAGTCTCATCAGGAGGTCGGTCGTCCAAAAAAACAGGCCGGAAAAATTTGCAAGGGTTTCACCCCAAAGTACAGAGGAGTTGCCGGTGGTGTTTTGAAAATTATTAATACCATTAAATGTAACAAAACATTTCTGAATAAAAAAACGTATCATTCAATTAAAATTAGTCGACGATAGTTGTATATCTTTGCCGCTTATTTTGGGACGTGATTTTCTACAATCGTTTAATATAAGATTAGTTAAAGTAGACAATGATTATGCTAAGAAGGAAATACCAGCACTTAACAATATAGATAAGTCAGATAATCCAGTAAGTGTTACCAACTTCAGCGGGGCCTTTTTTAAAGGGTCGCCGGGTGATAATCATAAGTGCCGTGGCGAGATATGTTTTGTGTTAATTTATCTACAGAGGAAAAATGCATTGATAGAGATCCAAAGTTGTCAAGGGAACGAAGCGAAGATTTAAGACAGAGGTGGGCAGCTTCGACAGAGAATTTTCGTAGTGTGCGAGAAATTGATCTCACTGTGTGCGTGCGAACAAGTCGTGCGGTTGAATGAAGCTTTCGCTGCCTTCTAAAGCAGAGCGTGTATGTATACCCGTTCATGTATGAAATGAAAATACATTTAACGACTGACGTTCCGTTTCATTGTGCTCCTCGACGGCTTTCTTACAAGTCTAGTTTAAACTTTTTTTTTATATATAGTATATAGTCAGTCCATGACGACCTCATTGTCCCAAAATTATTTCACTCATACTATGAATACATCTGTATACCGTTAGTATAGTATGGCAAGGGCGTAACTCACATCGTCGTAACTAAAATTTTGTATTGCATAAAACGATGTGGGGACTTGCAGCATAATCAATCAAAAAGAGAATTTTGATTTTTAGTTAGTTACGGCTTTTTGTATTTCAGCGACGATGTGAGTTACGCCTTTTCCATACTATACTAACGATATGTAACAGAAAATCTTGTATAATAAGATAATGTGAAATGACTACACACTTTTTTCTGCGTTTTTAACAAACATTTTGTAACCTCTAAATTAAGTTCCCGTTTCAGTTTTTTGTTAAAAATAGACTTAGTTTTTTCGATTACAAAATGTTTGGAAACATTCAGAATAGACTTGTTATTGTTAATCTAATATTTTCTAATACTCACATTCTGTGATTTAACCAAAAAAACTTACGTGGAAATTATAGAAATTATTTCATACTTACATCCTTCAGAAGTTTCTAATGATTTTTGTATGTCCCGAATTTCATTTTCCTTGTGATGAAGCTCATGCAATGCAGAATCACAGCGGTTGCGGCTCTCACGAAGATCCCTGAGTGAGTTATAAGATAACCATTTAAAATTTGATAACATTGAAGGCAACATATTTATTATGTATGTATAGCTATTTAAATAATTCACATACTAAAATACTAACTTTTGAGTTGCAATCAATTCTGCTCGCGTTCGGCTTAGTTCTTCCGAAATAAGCGTTTTTGCCTGAATCTCAGCCTGAAGTGAACTCTGCAAATTCAATAACTCCATCTTATCGAGTTTTTGTGAACGTCTATTACGCCAATTTTTCGTATCGTAGGTTTGTTGAAATGATCCTATATGTGCATACGCATATATATCTGTTAATATTTGCACTGTATATTTTCTAGAAATGACATTTTAGTGGAACATTTGTATGCATGATTCAATAATAAAAGGTTTGCTCACTAGTGACAAAATCTTTAGGAGTATCTCATTTTCTGTACCGATTTTTTTTACCAATCTTCAAAGAAAATTGTATGAAGTGGGTGACGTAAAGAAATTTCTGTACGAAAAATAAAGAAAATTCAGAAAAAAATCTCCAAGAAATTCTTCACATAGCATCGTTGCTTTACCGATTTTATTCGGAAATTTCGTTGAAGAATTGAAAAGCGCACAATTTTATTTCATTTTAGAAAATTCGGTGAAAAATCGGATGAGATCTTTACGATTTTTCTCTACAATTCAGAATACTCTGAAAACATGGTTTGCAGGGAAAAGAGTTTTGATACTCCCGTACAGAAGAGTGCACACACACACAAAGCCATACAGTGCCTTGCTAAGGGAGCCGATTTTGTCAGAAGAGAAAACTGTTTTCTGAGCAAACCTCTTATTATTGAGTCATGATTTGTATGTACCCTTGTGGTCAGCTGATTAAGTTAAGTGACGTTTTGACCAGTTTGGTAATTTTGCTTTAGTCTACACTGGAAAATCGCGTTAATTTTTAATACTTTTTTTTGGCTAACGGTGTTGAACATTTTCTCCCATATAAAGTATGCTCGGCAATATCTTTTATATGGAGGAAAATGACTAGTAGGTCTGTTACGAATGTGAAATTTTAGATATCCGCGGATGCGGATGTAAAGTATTTTTAAGAAACAATTAGGTAAGTAAATTAAGTTATTTAGGTAAATAAAAAAATTTAAAAGTTAGTAATATTTAATAAAGCTTATTTTATTTACTACTTGAATTTAAAAATTGGAACATTATATTTAATAAAAAGTAATGAGAATTGCATTGGGGCTGAATATGACGGATGTATCCTAATGGCGAGATGGTTGTTTTAACAGCGCTTTCAAGCCAAACCAGATGTGTCAGGTTTTTCTAAAGCTTTTTAAAAAGAATTCTTCATTCTCATGCCTTTGGCCCTTTCAGATTTTGAATAAAAAGAATAAAAATAATTATTCATTCTCATTCCTTTGGCTGTTTCAGAATTTGGGGAACCTGTTACTTCATCAGCGTTTTTCGATTTTAGTTTTTGTAATTCATTTTTAATACTTCCTTTTGCGACTGATTTGAAAAATGTGTGCTTATAGCGAGCTATGAAAAAAAATATTGCCCGCCAAGTAAAAAATTACTGTTTTTAAAATGTTTGCTAAAAATGAATTCCCCAAAGAGCCCCATTTGAATTGATCGAAACTTTCTTCTTTATGTCTAGTAGTTTTTTTTTTAAGAGAAAACAAAAAAATATATGTTATTCATGCCTATTACGGTATCCGACGGATGCACGGATCTAATCAGATTCGCACTGTCGGAATAAGCGAGTGCGAAGGATTAGATTCGTGCGAATGGTATCTGTCGGACCGGAATAGGTCTGTTTCCGAGGGATTCCATTCTCATGAATCTAATCCTTCTCATTCGCTTGTTATGACAGTGCGAATCGGATTAGATCCGTGCGGATGGCATCCATCGGATACCGTAATAGGCATGATTAAAAGTACTCTGTTCTCTTTGACGTACGCCTAGCTCGGTTATATAGCTTAAGAAATTATCAGCCTCATTGCGTAAGTCGTAAATTAGGCTAAATTGTACGACTCAACAACATTGGCATTGTCTACTGTCATGCTGAATTAAGTAAACGAAGAAAATCGTCGAAAACTATACAGTGCTACCAAGTTTTTCCGTTTTAACACACTAGTCGAGTGGAAATTTTCGATACGATCGACTCTCGAAAAACGACTTGTTCTCGTCACGACTCTCGCAATTAGGGTGAATATGTTTAAAGACATTTTTATCAAAGTTGATAAAATTATACATTTGACCATTTTTTTTGCACGAATACTCCCACGAACGCAGGCAAAAAATATTGGCTACAATTTATCATTTCGTTTGCGAGATATACGTTTCATCGGTGCACTTGCGGAAGCTCCGCAGTTGCGAATGCGAATATTCGCAACAACCCTGATGCCTAGCACCTCAGCCAAAAAAAATATTGAAATACAACGTGATTTTCTAGCGTTTTAAAAATTGCACTTTAACCTACTCAAATGGGCTATAAAACTGGATACCTAATTTTTTTTAGTTTTTATTAAAAAGTTTAAAATTTTTGGGTGTAAATGTTAAAGTTTGTTGAATTTTTAAAGTTTTTCTAAGTTTGAAATGTGGATTTATGAGGTGCTGGTTATGTACTGTTCTAGACCTTTATAAAAAGTCATAAACATTAAATAAACAAAAAAAAATTACCATAAGTGGTCAAAATGTCACTTAGTTTAATCAGCTGACCACAAGTGTATGCATGTAGATAAAACTAGGGGATCCAAATAAAATTAATCAACTTTGTAAGTCCCTAATATAGATATGCACATATGTATGTACATATCTGTGGTCGTGGAATAGTAGCTTATGTCGGAAGGCTGGCTTTAGTATAATGCACTATTCCCTCCATTATTTAAACAACAAGGAATTTTTTGATGAGACTTAATAAGAACATTGATTTGCTAGTATCGGAACCATTTCTCTTACGTTTATTCGCCAAGAGTTCTTCAACGGCTCGGCTACTATTCCATACGAACACAGATATGTATCTATCCTGCCGGGGTCGTAGTGCGCATCTCTGACCACGGCGGCCACTTTAAATATATACATTATTTTGTTGACAACGGACGATGAGCATATCATTAAAAAAAATACATTTTGACAGGAAAAAGTTATTTACCTGAGTGTTTTAGATATTCAACTTCTTCAGTCATTTTGGTTGCTAAAGCTTGTAAGTAGCTTCGAGCATCTTTTTCATCCGATACCCACTGTATTATTTCCGACATCTGACGTTCCCATTGCATAATTGCTTGTCGTTTTGACCTAAATATTATATACATACATACATATATTTGAAAAAAGCCAACTATTTTGCGAAGCAACTAAATACTTGAACATAGATTATTTAAACTACGCTTTTATGTACCCACGTATGTACGTGCAATCAATGGGAAGAGTACCTTAATTCCTCGCTATTGCTTTGATCTTCGACTTGTTTTGTTTGTAGTTGCCTTATGGCTTGATTTAAATTTTCCATTTCTGATAAAAGCCTTCTTTTTTCCTCTATCCAAATGCTTTTTTCTTGTTCGTACATCTTTTTTTGCTCACTTAAAGTGTCCACAGTATCATTTTGAGATTCTAATCTACTTATATCACACTTTTCACGAGTTTTTTGTAGTTCCATTATTAAGAAATCTCGATTCTTTTCCGATTCCATCAGCTGTTCTCGCAGCTCTGATATTTCCATGTTATAGCGCGTTTGTTGTTGATTTAGTTTTTCAGAATATTGGACTTCGATTCGTTCGATTTCATATCTTGAGGGTTCATTGGCTGGAAAGGCGGAGCTTGTATCTGAATTACTTTTACTACGCAGTTCTGATTGTAACTGGCGACAAAATTCCTCAGAGCGTTCCCTTTGTTTCTTCTCTTTTGCCGCATCCGTCATTGCATCCTCCACTCGTAGCTCAAGCTCCCTCCGATTTTTATCAGCTTTTCGAAGATCGTTTCGAAGGCTGTCTATTTTTTTCATAACCGCTTCAAGTTCTTCCTCTTTATCACGAACCTGTTAAATAGCAAAAACATTTGTTTCAAACCCATCATTTCATGCATTTTTTAGTTTTTCTGCTAATAATGTCTATAACTTTAACCATTTGAAATCGAATTTAAGTAGATGTCTTCTAAAAAAAGAGTGTCGCACATTCCACGACAACTATTTTGAAGACCTGACGGTTTCACGATTTTTGTAATTATCTACGGCAGGCTTTCCCAAAGTGGGTGCCTAGGGTGCCGCTAGTGGCTAGAGTATACTAGTGGTGCGGGCAAATTCTTTAAACTTTTCATACACAACGCAAGCGGTTTGTTCAAACTTCAACATGGCAGATAGAAAATAAGAAAATTTTGATCTTTATTAAAATTACCTTCAGCGGCTCGTCAAACCCCATACACAACACAATTGGCTTGCAGCAAAGGCATTTTTCACTTGGTTTGTCAAGCCGCTTGTGTGGTTTATTTCGCTCTTAAGCGTAGTTCCCCAGTACGTTTTGTCAACGAAATATTCAATCAGAAAATTTTGAGAAATATAGCCGAAAACGTACCTTTTCACGAAAGCGAACTTATAAAAAGTTTGAAAACTTATGAATTTTTTAGTTTGCAACTTGACGAAAGTACCGACGTAGTGGGACTTGATGTTCTTCTCGTGTTATCGAAGAAGAACTTTTGCTGAGCGAAGTGCTTACAACACTAGCGACGAAATTTTTAAAGCTATCGACAAATTTGTACAGAAAAATTGTTTGAAACGGAGCAAGTGTGCGGATATTTGCCGCCACTAGATTAAAAACCCGTATTGGNGATGTTCTTCTCGTGTTATCGAAGAAGAACTTTTGCTGAGCGAAGTGCTTACAACACTAGCGACGAAATTTTTAAAGCTATCGACAAATTTGTACAGAAAAATGGTTTGAAATGGAGCAAGTGTGCGGATATTTGCCGCCACTAGATTAAAAACCCGTATTGGATGACGCTGCGAATATAACAGAGGCCTGCGAAATTAAAATACATCTTTGGTTTTTCTAGCACGTCGAGATTTTTTTATTGGTGACATGTATATTTTAGAATTTCTAGCAATTTACATGAAAACCCCATAAATAAACAAAGTAAATCAGAAAAACGTACATATGTAACTTCGAAGTTAACGCTAAGAAAATGGATAACAGCCGGTTTCACCAGTAATTTAAATGGAAAATGATTTTTTATTTTCTGTCAATTTCCATATAATGAATAAAAATTTAAAATCATTTTTCACTTCAATTGCTTTCGTGAAATTGGCTGTAAACGTTATTTTCTTAGCGTTAACGTGCATTCCCACCGTTAACTTGGAAGGTCTGACTCTGAGGATGTCTACAGCTTGATAACAAACCCGTTTTCATGTGACCCGAAAGTTAACTTTACAAACTTAGCTTTTGAAAACCTTCTGGACATCAGTGAAGACAGCTCTTGGCATATTAAATACTACGGAGGGAGCCAAGAGGGTTCTGGATGCAAGTGTATGCAGAAAACACTGCTGTTTGCAAGATTGCATTAAAAATACTAGTGAATTTTACTTTTACATTTCTATGTGAGACTGCATTTTCAACAAATGCTTACATAAACAAGTAATTTTTAAGCAAAAAACAAAACCGACTTCAATTCCCATATAAAAATTTAAGATTATCGTTAATCTCTTCATGATCCAATGATCGGATTTGAACCAAATTAGAATGCGGCCACCTGTGAGGTGACACCTTTCTTTACAAAAAAAAAGTATAGTAATCGGTTAACGTGGTACAAAGTTATGCGGTAGCATACATAAAAAAAAAAATATAATAAAAAAATATTCCGACGAATTGATAATCTTCTCCTTTTTGTGAAGTCGGTTAAAAACAAATACACCAGCAAGCTTTCAGCGTCAGGACCATAGCAACGCGAGAAGGATCTTTTTAATAAACGTTTTATTAAAAATTATTGAACTTGGCTTGGCTTATTACAAATGTATAATTATAATAATATAAACGGACATAAACATATTTACATATGTTCCATACATACATTTGTAATAAGCCAAACCAAGTTCAATAATTTTTAATAAATAAACATTTATAACGTTTATTAAAAAACTCAAGTGTTTTTTATTTAAAACGAGCGCGACGATTCAGTCCTCACATTAAAGCTAAAGGAACATAAAGTTTGCATTCTGTTTTCTTGTTTTCGTAGACATTTGAAGAGTAGGGGTGCCGCGAAATTTTTTTAGCACAAGGGTGCCGCGGTGAAAAAAAGTTTGGGAGCTCCTGGTCTACAGTTCATATGTGTAATTCCATGATGTCGGACGTGACATTCGTACGACTCTAGAGTTAAATAAATCGTGAACGAAGCCACTTATAAACAAAATTTACCGTTGTGTAGCAGTCTTTTGGTTGACAAAAAATTAAGTGAGCTTGGAACACTGGTGTCGAGAAAATCGAAGAAAAGGAGGTCATAACGGACGTGATAAAAACACAAGTACATGTAGAAATAGCAAAACTCTGCGAGACCTGTGAGGGTTTCCTTTCTTAAACATTCTTTAAATAAAGTCAAATTACGGACCATTACAACCAATACATTTGGTTTAATTTTGAATTAAAATGTGGTAACGGACGTGACATAGGACGTGACCGATTTTACCCTTTACAATATGTTTACTAGTAATACATACAGTATTGGACATATCTATAGCACCCCCCTTTCAATGCGATATTGTTTGCCACTTATGTTTAGTTATTTGTTTTTAAGAATTTTCAATTAAAATACAGTTCATTCTCTAACAAAACCCATATAAACCCATGTTTTAAACTTTTTAAAAGACCGCAAAAAAGCGCAACAAACTTTCCTTTAAATTTCAAACTTTTTTCTCAGAAGCTCTAGAATTTTTTTGAGTACACAGTTTTATAGCGCATTCAATTTTAGTCTAATAATGTGCAAGTTTCAAGTCGCTAAAGATTACCGTTGATTTTTTAGAATTTTTTTTTGTCTCATTTGCTTCCATATAACGACTAAACACAATTTATTTTTATATGGCAGAAACCCGCAACATCCTCAACGAAAAAAATTCTAAAAAATCAACGGTAATTTTTAGCCACTTGAAACTTGCACATTATTAGACTAAAATTGAATGGGCTATAAAACTGTGTATTCAAAAAAATTCTACCGCTTCTGAGAAAAAAGTTTGAAATTTGGGTGAAAATTTGTTGCACTTTTTTGCGGTATTTTAAAAAGTTTTAGACTTGAGTTTATGTGAGTTTTGTGAGAGAATGAACTGTATTTTAATTGAAAATTCTTAAAAATAAATAAATAAACATGAGTGGCAAACAATATGACTTTGAAATGGGGGTGCTATTGTATTGGCCAATACTGTATGTATGTATATGATTTAATATTTTATTTTATTTGTACAGTTCTTTCCTCCACCGTTTTGCATTTCCATAACCATTTTTACCATCTGATTACGAAATCTAAAGTTATAAAGCCGTTTGAACTCATTTACTACCATATTCGGTTTGCATTTTAATGGAAACACCCATATGTATGTACATGGAATATTCAATGCATTACGTATTCGACTTGATTTACATACTAATATTTAGAATTTATTGTGAAGTTAAAGCGAACATACCTGTCGTGATAGTTTTTGTTTTTGAGAACGTAATTCGGATAATTTGTCGGTAACCTCTGCGTATTCCATCATCGCCAATTTGCGTTGGCAAATTGCATCTTTCAATTCAGTTTCTTGAGCCTTTATTCGATCTAGCGCTTCGCTGTACTCTTTTGTTGCATGACCCTTTTCCCGCTTCACATCGTTCAACTCTTGTTCCAACTCCTTCATTCGTAATAAATATGAGGCGTTACATTCATCGGAAGTTGCTTTCTCGATAATTTCGAGGTTTTTTAATTTATGCTCAAGTTCATAGTTTTTCTTTTTCAGCGTATTTATTTCTTCAATTAGATTACATTTTTCATCCGTGATTTCAAGGTTCATAGTTCTATCTACATCGTTATTAAAATTGCTACAAGCATTTTCTACTTTTCCTAAATCCGATAAAGAACTACATTGCGTGAAAGTGAATCCAATGAATGGTAAGTGCAGGCCAGAAAAGGCAAGATTTGCTGCCGGTGGCATAGTGTCCGATAAATGTATGTCTGTGTCATCTACATCGAAATTGGATGTATCCGTTGGACTTGATACTTCGGGTATATAGGGAGCCTGGCTGTATCTAAGGCTATCCCAATCTAGGCCAGCAAACCATGGATGACTTTTGAAATCATCAGTTCCATTTTGCCCCAATCGATTTTCAGGTGCACAAATGAGTTTTCGCATCAAATCTTTTGCTGCTTCCGACACAATATAGTCCAAACTCTCTTGTGGCGGAAAATCGAAGCAATTTTGATGATTCATTATCTTTCCGTAGGTTTCCACAAGACTTTCCGCATAAAACGGTGTCTCACCGTACAACATTTCATACATACATACACCAAGAGACCACCAGTCACATTCAGCTCCGTATCTACCCTGGCCATCTTCCATTGCTCGGAGTATTTCAGGTGAAATGTAATCGGGAGTACCAACGGCGACGTTAGATTGCACCATACCGTCTGGCCCAATACGCAAACAAGAACCGAAATCAGCTAAGCGAATATGTCCTTTCATGTCGAGTACCAAATTGTCCGGCTTTATGTCTCGATGTACATATTGCAGTTTATGTATGCTGTCTATCGCCAAAATCGTTTCGGCAATATAAAATTTGGCCATATCCTCCGGCAAACGGTCCTCAAATTTACTTAAAAGAGTCAGCAAGTCGCCTCCACAGTAATAATCCATAACAAGATACTATTAAAAAACATGTTAAAAAAAATATACATGTGTAGATAGATGTATAGATATCGCACACGATCTTTCCTTAATTAAATTTTTGATATTATAACATTTCTCAGATCTTGTATTAACTATATTGCAAAAACTTAAAGGGTATTTTGTGGTTAATTGGTATAACAATCGCTTGGGTGTTCACACTTGCCTGGCTATCAGGTTATCTGGTTAAAGAATATTATTGTGTAGTGTATTTTATTGTTGTAAACTGAATAAAAAATATAACCACATAACATGATAACCAGGCAAGCGTGAACTACCTCACTGCAAGGAATTAAAAACAAAATAAATTACAGAAACATTTTTTTTAACCAGATAACCTGTTAACCAGGCAAGCGTGCACAACCACATTATCTCTGAGAACAAACCTACGGAATATTTTTTCAAAAAAGGTCAAATAGGGACTTCAAACGTAATACATTTTTACACGTCTATTCTGCACGTTACCGAAGATTTTGTTACCGGAAAACTTTATTACTAAAAAATGTTACCAGTTCTTGTCACCGCGATTTTAGGTACGTTGGTAATGCAGTTAAAATATTCAGCAATTCAGTTATGAAGAATTGTGGAAATTACCAGCGCAGAATAGACCTGTAGTGAACGTATAGTCTAGGTTCAGACGGAGAAACTTTTGTCGCGGCAACTCGCTACTTGTGGGAGAGAGGGAGACGAGGAAGGGGGAAGGGCACCGAGTTGCTCGTGCTCGGGCAACACGCTTTGTGCTATCGTTCGTCTGAGTAATTCTAGCCGGCCGTTCACAGCTGATAACAACAATTGCGTACAAAAGAATTTCTCTGTGTGAACGCGAAGGGCAACATCAAAAGGGAAATTGCCGAAAATGGGCAACAAAACTTTCTTTGTGTGAACCTAGTCATAACGGCATTGCTCCGTGAATTGGCTGAATTACTGAAAACGTATACAGCGTTGCAAATGTATGTTGATAAAAGTGTTAACGACTTTACGTACCTATGTAATTCAACAAACAGGTGTTCTATTATCGAACTTACCAAATTGCTATCATCCTGAAACGCATAATGCAAATTTGTTATCCATTGCCTATCACCATAAACCAAAACATCGCGTTCTTCTCGAAAGCACGCAGTCTCCGCACGCTTAAGCATTTCCCATTTGTTTAGGGTTTTCATGGCGAATATCTGCTGAGTTGCTAGCATGCGAACAACACACACTTCACCAAATGCTCCTCGGCCAATAATTTTGATCGTTTCAAAGTCATCTCTAGATAGTCGAAGCTGCTTAATCAATGTTGCAACTGGTTTCACTGCAATGAGATAAATCAAAAACTGTTTTTTTTTTATGATAAAAATTTATTCACTTACCCAGTTTTATAAAATCGGCTAACGTTTTTTCTCGCCTCAATGATGAATTACAGCACTCATCATACAATACTAGCAGAGCGTCCAGTAATGTCTCAATCGAAACAGCTTTTCCGTCGAGATTCGAAAGGAGTTCTGTCTTTTCTTGCAAATAACTTTTTAGCGTTAGCATTCCATTTGTTATCCCTTTTTGAAATATCAACGACTCCAATAATTTCAATCTCTTGGTAAATCTATTCCCGCTATATTCTTAAAGAAGCCAAATAAAAATAAAAAAGTTTAGGTTTACATGCAATTTTATATGTACATTAGACTGCATCACTCCCTATACAAAATAAAATCGGTACTGTTTTTCCATAGGAATTATAAAATCTATTTTATTTTAAGACGTCCACCAAAATATTTCGGTAAAATATTAAGATTTAAATAAGCGAGCTGGACCGATTTGAAATACCTCCAAAAAATGGAGTTTTTTATTAAAGATGTTTTTTGAAAAAATCCCCTCGAATGACAAAACGGTTTAAGCTTAAAAAATTTATAGAAAAATATTTAAAAAATATATAAAAAAAATTAAACGGAATCATGATAATGAGATTTTTGATGCTATTTTTTAACTTTTTTCAAAGATTGGTGTAAGAAAAGCTTGCATAACTGAACCTAAACTCTTCCGATTTAGACTTGTGGGGTATCATTGGAAAGGGATTTTCTCACCCTTTTTATTTCTTTGCTAATAAGCTCATTCAAAGGATAAAAGAGTAAGGTAGGATGAACGAACATCATTCAAAGATTAATTAAGATGTGTTGGTATTTGAAAAAAATTGGGACGCGAATGACTTTTTTTGCACATAAATAAAAATAGTGGGAAAATAGCTTTCTATCGAGATCCCATAAGTCTAAATCAGAATAGTTTTTGCCGAGTTATTTAAGTTTTTCGAATATCAATCTTTGAAAAAAGTAAAAAAAAAACAGTATTATAAATGTCATTAAGATTCCTTTGAAAAGATTTTTATGCAGATTTTTTAAGCCTAATCTGCTTTTTCATCCAAGGGGACTTTTTTCAAAAGTTCTTTAAAAAACTACTTTTATTCATAAAAAAACTCCATTTTTGGAGGTATTTTCAAATCGGTCCAGCTCGCTTAAATCTTAATATTTTTCCGAAATATTTTTGTGGACCTCTTAGAAAGTTAAGTTTTGTAATCCCGGCGGAAAACCGCAACTTTTTTTTGGCGATGCAATCTAATGTAATTATAGGGCTGGGACTATCCGCATATTCGAATATCCGGATATCCATGCGGATTATCAATTTACACGGATAAAATCCGGAAGTATGGATATGAGGATAATATTCGTTTGTGCAATTATTCGGATATCCGGATTTTTTGTTTGTTTTTACGAAACGATATGTGCATAAATTTGTTTGTAGAACTTTTTAATTCATTTGTAGGAGCTTTTGAAATACACAAATAGAATTTTGGAAGTTTAAAAATGTATACAAACAGTTTTGTGCGTAGAAATGGAAAACTTGGTACTTCACATGTATGAGCGCTTGGTATTGGGAAATGAAAATATGGTTTTGATCTAATAAAACTGGTAAATAAAAAAGAGTGAACGCAGGAAAATGTCACATTTGACCTAACGAAAAATCCGGACAGTCGGATATCCGAATATTATCCTAACTTCCGGACTATCCGGATTTTTCGTTCAAGTCTCCGCATATTCGAATATTCGGTTTATCCGGATAGTTGAATAATCCGGATGAAATTCCCAGCCCTATGTACATACGTATGTATGTATGTACATACACTGGCGATCAAAACCGAGTGCATGTACGATATTTTATTTCTTACAGTAACATAACTTTTTTAATAATAGGCGGATTGCTTTGAAATTATCAGCAATTGGTCCTTATTATTTAAGGAATAAAACCTAGTATACAGAAAAACTAAACTTAAAAAGGAAACAAGCGGTTCACACTCTGTTGTTTTTAATAGCGATTTTCATACGTCTGGGAATGCTGTCTACTGAGTTTTCTATGATTTCGCTTGGAATATTTCCCCATTATGTTGTTGTTGTTGTAGCAGCATACAAATTCCCCAAAGACTTTTTGGGGAGTGTTGCTGGAGTGACAGTCCTTGGCCAGATTTCCCCATTATAATTTTACTCGCCTCCAAAGCTCTTCCATGTTACTCGGAGCTCGCTTGTGCTATGCTAATAACATGCTTGATCACAGCGCTCAATTTTTCGATGGCGTTGAGGTCTCAAATTTGTGCTGGCCACTGCATTACGTGAAAATTTTGCTGAAGCAGCCGACGGTGTCGAATATTTCAGAATTTCAGATATGCCAAAATGCCGCTCTACGAACCGCGACAGGGTGTCTCCTTATGTCCTCCGAACAACACTTACACGACGAGACTACAATGCTCCGGGTAAGGGATCACAATATGTCAAAACAGTTCCTGCTAGGCTGTCACAGAACAACTCACCCTAACTACAGCCTGACACAGAGAACTGCACCACCAAGACACATAAGGAGACACCTCAGTCACCTAGAAGCAGACATCGACCAACAACTTCACTTGCCACTGAGCCGCGAGGCATACCTTGAGGGAATCATAACCTTCATTGCGAAGCAGTCATCTCCGCAACACGAGGACGCCACGAAAACATAGACCTGGGTGGCCGGCCGCCTTCTATCGATTTGAGCGAATTCCAACTACCGCGCGAAACAAGAACAACACTGGCGCAACTCAGATCTAGCTGGTGCAGTCGCTTAAACTCTTACAGAACCAGATTAGACCCAGAGATCGCTGACACCTGCCCAGCATTCGGAACTGGTCCACACAACACCGCACACTTGTTCGCATGCCCTACATATCCCACCCATCTGACACCCGAAGCGNCTGCCCAGCATTCGGAACTGGTCCACACAACACCGCACACTACATATCCCACCCATCTGACACCCGAAGCGCTTGAGACTGCTCGCTTCCTGGGCCTAAGGTTGGAGGAGTCAGATGGGGAAGACGAAGATGAATAAACAACCAACCAATTCGGGGACTACGTGCTGCTAACACAACAACAACAATATTTTCAGAATCCTTAGGATCTCCGACCTGCTGGCAAACAACTTATTTCTCAGGGTATGCGCTTTTGTCTACAAACTCCGGGAAATATGTTTTGGAGAATATGAAGATAGACTTTCTTGTTCATTATTCCTTTAATATTAACAAACGGCGCCAAATGCAGGCAATTAAAACACCCCAAGCCGTTAAGCTGCCACTGAAATTTTGAAAAAATTACGAGAATTTGAGCTTTTGGACTGGTTTGAATTATTTCTAGAGCGATAGAAAAGAATATTTTTGGTAAAAACCTCATCAACGTATTCAAAAACACCATGTCAAGAAAAATGTCTAACATGGTGGTAGCCGCTTAATAGTTTGGGAGTGTTTTACTTTGTGGCATTTGGTACCATTAGTGAATATTAAGGGAATAATGAACAAGGAAATCTATCTCGATATTCTCCAAATAAATTTGCCAGACTTTGTAGACAAAAGCGCATACCATGAGCAAGAAGTTGTTTGCCATCAGGACCGAGATCCAAAAGATTCTGAAAATAGTAGGCACCGCCAAAATTTTGACGTAATGCAGTGGCCAGAAAAAATCCCAGACCTCGTGCGACGTCATCGTGGCAGTCACCCTAACCACGCTCTGCTTAGGACCGATCCGCCCCTAGACAAATGAGACGTCACCTACACGACTGGCGCTCAACAACTTAAAAAGCGATGGAGTCAGAACGAGGCTCGACCGCCGCCCAACAACAACAACGTAGAACTGCCGAGAAAGACCGGATGCACCGAACAGACGACAACGCTGACGGATGAACCGACCCAAGTGGGGCTTGGTTATCGCTACAACAATAACAACAACAACCAGATGCACCCTAGCACAACTAAGTTGGCATGCACCGGCGACCCTGACACCAAAAGTACAGCTGAGTATTGCTGCTACAACAGCAAAGACGATGAATTTTTCCCCACGACAGTCGGGTCTACGTAACCGGAACGACTCAGATTTATATCTGGCTAAGAACTGTCACTCCAGCAACACTCCCCAAAAAGTCTTTGGGGTATTTGTATGCTGCCTCAACAACAACATGATTTTTTTATTTTTGAACTGAAGTCCGATCTCTTGACTACATATACGTGTTAACTCGTACCCGAGGATATTTTATTGAGAGGTAACGTCTGTTCTCTTTCTAGTGGGTAGGCTTTCATATGCATGCCCCTGCCTTTCTGCCCACCAAGGCACTATATATTGAACATTCATATACGTCATGTTTATAAAGTTTACTTGGAAGCACATCGGAAGACAAATCAAAAATAGGAGAAAGGGTGTGACTATGCAACGTTCGTGGATGCTCGAGTTAACCGGACCAACCCAAATCCAACAAAGCACCACATTTCTAACAGAAAACATATATACATATGAACATATCTACGTACATATATATGTACGTGTGTTTATCAGACCCTATCTAGTACATGCACGGATATTTACATATGTACATAGTATGTGGGTACAAGCATATATGTAAAATGTTCATAGTTTAAGCAACGACCTAACTTTATACAACTAATGTATTTTTCATCGCTCACAATCCCTAAACAATGGCACACTTTTTAATATACATGCATTCATAAAAAAAAAAATTCACGTAGTGTGGTTGAACGTACATACCAGGTATATAATTTTACATAGACACTTCAGGGCAAAACAAAAGTGCATGCGGTCATTTTTCTTAACTCTCAAAGAACTTACTCAACTAAATAAATTAATACAAACATGTCCAAAATATAATTGAAGCATGGAGATTCTTTTTAACAGCGAGTAATTTTTGTGCCCCAAATAAATTGTACACAGAATATTCTTTTGCACAAGCATATTTACCGACGGTTTCGGAGTTTTCTGTTTTACAACTCATATTCCCGATTATTATATTTTTCGTTCACGTAGATGCAATCATTTTTCGTGTTAGCACAATTCACTCTGCTACGGCTCACCAATAAATTTACTTAAAACCACAACAATCTGTCGGTGTGGAAGTTTTATCAAATGACGCACATAATGCAACCTGAGTACACTGAGAAAATTATTTTTAATATATAGAGTTTCTAAAACAAGAAGTGTTATACAAGCTAAGCCAAGGCGAATTTATACAAGGTGGTGTTGATGGCGAATCTAGGTTTTTGACGAGGTACTTCCTAATGTCAAAATGATGCGTTTGTTGTAAACAAGGTGAATTCATATTACACAAACACATCATTTCCACAATAATGCTTGAAATACAATACCGGCGAACGGCAAACTTCGCCGATTTGGGCGATGCTGTCGTTCACCGTTCGCCCAGCTATTTCGCCTACTTAAACAGAATTAGAGCGGTAGCGAAAACAGCTGATCCCATTTGGTCGCCTTTATAATTTGGGTGACCATATTTAGAAAAAACTAAACCATATTTAGAAATGAGGAAATGATAACAAATATAAATGTAAAACAAAGAAAGATTATTATAAATAATTTGTTTCAAGCCAGATTTAACGAATCCACAACTATATTTTTCAAACAACAAAAAAAAAAAATCGTGTTTAGGTTGTTTTCTTTTAAAACTTTGAAAGCAAAAAACAAATACGGCCACCTTTGGCACGCACAGCTGTCATCGCCCAGCAGGGCGATAGAAATAAATCTATCGCCATGAAACGCCGCCAAGCGAACTTCGCATTTCGCTTTGGCTGTGTTCAATTTCATATGCTTGCGGGTGTTCTAATTTTGACAGCGCGAATTTCGCTGTGGTGAGTTCGCCGTTCGCCGGCATTGTATTTCAGCTATAAGAAGAGCCGCGGCGAAAATCGAAATTCGCCATCAACACCACCAAGGCGAATTTATACAAGGTGGTGTGTAAAATCAGCTGATTTCTTCGCCTTACACGTATTTTGTTTGTGCTTTTACTGATTTGACAGCACACGCATCAAAAGCAAAAACAAAATTCATGTAAACTTTGGAGCGAATTGAAATTTGACATAACACCCTCCATACAAAATACATGTGGTTGTCGTTGTTGTAATCTAAATTCGCCAGTAACACCACCAAGGTGTATTAAACAAGGTGGTGTTGGGGCGACAGCTGAGTTTTTCGCCGTGGAGGCCATTACGTCAAAATTATGTGTTTGTTGTAATTCATACCAATGACAGTATGGACATCAGCGTATAATTTGTTAGTGTAATTTTTTACTTATATACGGCCAACACCACCTTGTTAAATACGCCTTGAACACCACCTTGTATAAATTCGCCTTGAACACCACCTTATATAAATTCGCCTTGAGCTAAGTTAACTGTGAAATACACGAAGAAGAAGAACGTCATTTCAAGTTGCTCACTCATACTCAGTGTTGCCATTTCAGCCGTTTTCCGGCTAGATTTTTCTGGTTACGATAGCAAACAGCCGGAGAAAATTCGGTTTAGCCGGCAGCCGATTTGTTAGCCGTTTTGCAAAAAAAAAATTTGCCGGTTTTAGCTGATTTTGCTATTTGCTATTCGCTTATTTTATTAAAATTCAAATATACAAGTTTTTATTTTTACAAATTTAGTGATCCAAAATCTAATAGAAATGGCTAGTCTTATCCCTGAGAAAATTTTCATGTCGGGCTGTGTTATATCAAATTGAAAAACAATTTTTTCTAACCCGAAAAGTCTTCAGATAGTGAGCCGATTTCAATGTTTTTTTTTTGTTTTAAGCGAGTGACCCAATTACATATAAACTGGGACGCGCCATTTTAGCTGATTAGAAAGTTACAAATTTTGCTGAAATTTTGCAGAATTTTCATAATTTTTACACAAAGTCTAAAATCTGGATGTAGTATATGGTTTTTGTTAAGTAATGAGCTACATATTCGTAAAAAATAATAAACATTAAATAAACTAAAGAAAAATAGGCGAAACTTGTTTCAATTTTTGTTAAGAATGTCTTAAATTTAAGTGTGAAGTTTTACGCGCAACACTTAGAAAATAAAAGAGCACAAATTTCGATGTGGAGCAAAACTCTCTGGGGAGACAATACCTGTGAAGAATTGCATCATGGTACAAATATACTTTATTTTTGTTATCATTGTTATTTCCGAGATGGTGGCCTTCAGCCGCACTAGAAGAAATAACCTCACCAGTCCAACTCCGGTTACGCCATCCACAGTATTTTTGCGCAAAATACACCGCCATCATTTTAACTCGACCTCCTTCCTGTTCCATGGATAACGGCACATCTTTTAGAGGTTAAAAAATATTTTGCGTCAGCAATTTTTCGTCGAACTGCACGTGTTACGTACCCTATCCTCGGAAAAGCAAAGAACTTTATTTTCGAATCTTTTCTCAGGTGTACCGAATTCTGGCAGTTTGGAAACGCGCAACACTTTTAATATTTTCATCCAATTTCACTAACTTAATTTTTTTTTACTTTTACAAGAATCAAAATTTTGTCTACTAGTGAATCTGGTGGCATGATTTTAGTTAAATGTCATAAACTTGTTAAAAGTTCGGCAACAACAACGAATGTTAATATATTAAACTACCTTCTGTGTTTGTATCATGGCGTTTTCTTTTCTCGAAATAATGTTGCTCTGTTTTCCTCAGCCCTTTCACAACTTTACGTGTTCATTTCTCAATATATTGCCCTCCGCCTAAGCAAAAGTGCCATACTTTTTGCTAATATAGTCATTTTGCGGGACAAAAAGCAACCTACTGCAAATGTTACAATATTTATAAGAAGGCAAAATTGTTTAATAGAAAAGAAAATGCCATAAGTTTTTATATTTAAGTAATACAAACATGACTTCTGATGTAAAGCTTAGCTACGTGTAACGACAGTTTCCTTTGTTAAACAAAAATAAAGTGATGTACAGCTTAGCTAGGAATAATCTTTGTTAACCAAAAAAAATTTAATGGATTTACTAGTCTTTCTAATTGTAATTTATGTATTAAAAAAAAAGTTAATTCTAGTTGAAAAATTTTAGCCGTTCTTAGCCGTTTTTTTGTCCAATCTAGCCGGTCACCCCAAAAAGTTCTGGCAACACTGCTCATACTGCTCGACAAAATTCATTGAGCCTCCGCACACTGGACTGCTCAGTCCGCCCAAAACCGGTTTTGTGTGGATAAGAGGGGGAAGAGAGTTCGAGTTTACCTCGCTCATTTCAGTCCGGTGGACTGACACGCACACATAGACAACATGTTTTCTATTTCGTTTTGTTTGCATATGCCACATGCACTAACACAATCCTGCGTAGTTCATGTATACAAAACTGAAACCTGTTTTCGGCCCACTGCCCAGTGTGCGTTCGAGTGGTGGACTGCTCAGTCCGACTGAGCAGGCTAGTGTGCTCAAGCCCATTAGAATTGGCGCAGACCGTCCACATAGAACTTTGGCGTTGCGTTGGCGTTGGCGTCGCTTCAATAGCTGACTATGAATTCAGTTGTCCACATAGCCAAAATTCGACAACGCTCACGCCAACCCAAAGCAAAAAGATGGCCAACTCTCAACTTTTCGCGTGCGTCGCTCGTCAGCTGTTGCAAATAAATAATATTATGTGAAATGATTTTCCTTTTTAACCAAGTGCGGTCAAGAAATACCGTTTTTAATGCAATTATTGATATGAAATATTAATTTTTCTGTCGTTAGTATGTTAATTTAGTGGCCCAAGCATTCGTTTCCAAGCGTTCATTGTAGCAAGCATACTTTTAACATGCGTTCTGCCAAAAGCCAACGCAAAAGTTCTATGTGGACCGGCCTTTAGTTTCTTGACAAAAATTTAATTTATCGTCTCGTTCCCGCACATTTATAATACCTGCAGTAATTACTAATATATTAATAGGACGCAACATCTTTTTTAAAGAACACATTTCTGCGTTGGCGGCCTTCGGGCGCGCGGAAGATTATAACCCTTAGGCAGTCTGCACACGGTTCGTATAGCTTTAGACGCGTATACAATTTTTTATGCAGCAACGATTCCTCTACGCCTCAAGATCTGCACACGAAGCAACTTCAAAGCGTCAAAGTATCAGGCAAAAAATGTCAAGTGATGCAAAATTATTATTTCTTTAATTAATTTTCCTATATTTTCCTATTATTCGCACGAATTTTATTGTTTTATCGGTTTTTTTTTATGAAATGCATGCACGCACACGGAAAATTGCAAACAAACTTCTTTTTTCTCTTTTCTAAGCGTACGTACGCCTAGCTACCAACACTGCTGTACGCCAAGCGATTTGCAGCTAGCTTGCTTTGACGAATTCGTGAAGCTGACGACTCGTATACAGGCCTCCATTTAAATGCACGTGCGCGGCATCAAAGCGTACAACTTTCGTATGTAGCATCTAATATGCGTCTAAAGCTATACGGCCCGTGTGCAGACTGCCTTACTAAGTAGAATTCTGTTAGTTAATAGGGTTCTTCATCTAAAGTGATAAAGGGATACATTGCTTAAATAAAAAACAAAATCAAATGCAGTGACGAAAACAATGAGAGAAGTGTGAATATATTAGTGAAAAAGTGTGAATGGCTTGGCAAAATTTTCTCATGTAAACCTCAGGTAAAGCTTAGTTAATTATTAGGTTTGTTCCACACGCTTTCTGGGCTGTTTCGGTAATTAGAGCGTAAAAGTAAGTTACTCTCAGAAGTGTCAAAAATGCGTCAACCCGCGCTAAAAGTGGTCAGAGCGTGAGGAACGCAAAAA